TACCTATTGATTCAGTTATTTTCAGTTTATTTTACATTGGTGTGCCTGTGGTGCGGAGGGACGGTCGCTCGGTCGCTCGGTCGGGCGTCGCACGGTCACGTGACTACCAAATTTTGTAGGCTGGGTAGATTTACTTAGCTATAGGGCTCCGCACGCCCGCGCAAAGGCGTGGAGCTCCTCTATAACGAGACTTAAATATCATACAACTCACTTTGACTCTGAAGATGACTATCGCACAAGTTGTCGAAACGTCAGTCGCTGTCAACAACAGTCCTATTCAGGAATGGGCTCGGCTATTATATTGCATTATGGTATAAAGTTAAAGAAGCTATTAATTATAATAATAATAATATGAATGATAACAACGATAATAATTAATAAATATTAATCGTTTTTAAAAATCATTTTCGACTGACTTACTTTTACGGTTTATTTTTTTTCTTTCTTATTCAATTACATCAGCTAAGATAGATCAGTACGTGAGCGACATGTTAAATAAACTCTCGCGACGTTTTTAGAAATATTTCGAAGACTTGGATACAAAACTGACGAAGAACGCCAACAAAAATAGAGGGAAGGATAAAACCTTACGGTTCCTAATTGTCTGATTGGCTAGAAGCTTTGTTTTTGCGCTTCTGATTGGAATGATCGTTATCTATGGCGGGTACGTCATCCAATCAGAGTGTGTCATTTAAAATAGTATAACAGTAGAATTTTACTAATTTTTGAAAACAACAACAACAAGAACATGATAGCAATGGTGTTGCATTGGTGAGCATTCACCTCCAACCAATGCGGCCTGGATTCGAACCCCAGTATCGACACCTAAAGTGGGTGTCCCAAGAGGTTTCACACTTTCCACAAAAAATAAAGCTTCCTATTTCCATGGCCAGTTCGATCTAGAACCCACGAACACTTTCAACCAGTTCTTCAGAGATCCTAAGTTTTTCGTGGGTAAGCAAACTACAAAGCACTAAACTTGTCGATCATATCCGTCTGCGAATTAGTGCACAAAGGCTCGTTCTAATATCCTGCAGAGTCGCAAGGACACACCTTATTATAGGAAATTAACGCGAATCGTTAAAATTCGCGTTAATTTTGTTGAGCGTTAATTTCCGCGACGTTAATTAGGTGCACCTAATTACTAAATATGGATGGAACAGACCAGCTTCATAACCTCTAAATGTAGCTAAATGTGAGGCTCAAAGTGGCAAAAAAAAATTGCTCAGTCAAATTGTAGAGTACTCCATGCACTGTATAAATTACTTAGAAAGAAAGCAAGAAAAACCTCTGTTGTTCAAGCTACTCTAAGGTCATGTTTCACACTATCACGAGCTCAACCTCTCTTGTCATGAGCTACGAGTCATGTTTGGCCTGTCAACACTTAATTCAAATCGGACTAATCACAAACTGCGTTAGAAACTAGCCAATCAAAAACGCCGACATATGTCCTTGCGACTCTGCGGGATTCGAACACGACCTTGTGCACTAATTCGCAGACGCCCTATATAGAAGGTTTAGAGCGTCTGCTACGCAGGCAAATCTTCGAACTAATTTCCCATTTGACGGAGGCACCCAACTACTGTTTTCCGCCAAATATCTGTTCAGAGAAGCAAAAATTGCCTAGAATTCTATTCTCTATAGCTTGAAGATGGCTAAAAATTTCTTGATGACCGTTCCATTCATGTACAATTTTCGAAGCTTATCGAATGAATTCCCTACGATTTGCTGAAGTTTAATTTTTCGCATCTAACTCCCCAAATAAGCTTTTAGTCGTGCGCGCATCGAAGGAAACCTAAAGTTTTTGGATTCAAAAATGTGATTGAGAGAGGAATCAGAAAAAAAGACTCAAGTTGCCCTGGAATGACCGAACAGATCAAAATTTTATAGCACTGCTTAGAATACATTTCTAAAGACTTCAAAGTACTCTGGATTGCCTAAAAACTGTTTTCAATGTATTTATCGTTGGGAGCACTGTTTTATGCGCGAGACACGAGGCGAAAGGAAACACAATCACATTTTAGCTTCTCTATTCGAGTTCTTTAATATTTGGAATAAAAAACCAATAAAGTGAGATGAGGTAGGATGTTTATAAGAAATGGTAAACATCCTTTCCTCCCATTCCTATTTGACGAAATATATACAAAACCAATATACCTGTCAACATCTGTATATTGTTTGATATTAAACACTTTCATTGTTAAAATAATTCTTTCTTTTTTTTTTGACTGAAGTACTTGGCGGTGGCATTTCCTGCTATTCTTGCGGGTCATCCTTATCTCCGGAACAGTGCAATGCAACTCAAACCGAAGACTCCAATTGCCGGCCAGATGGGAATGGAGGAGGACGGTAAGCTATTCTTAAGAAGTTAAAGGTGATTACGACAGTCCCCTTTTTTTGCATAAGATCTCCTCTATCGAGCGATCTTGGTTTCAATTGCACTGAGTGTAACCAAATGAAATGCCAAGTTGGCGGACAAACAGAAAGGGGGACGTTCGAGGTACGTTTCCTCTCTTAAAAGTTGAATAACTTCTAAACGGTACAAGTTATGATCGCCAAACTAAGGGGGGGGTTATATTATCGGTAGGGGGGGAGGGGAGAGGTGGAGAGAGGGGGGGGGGGGGGGGGGGGGGTGGGGGGGGGGGGGGGGGGGGGGGAGGGGAGGGGGGGGAGGGGGAGGGGTGGTGGGTGTGGGGGGGGGTGGTTGTGTGTGTTGAATAAGGTGTGTGGGGGTGAGTCAGCAGTTTGATCGCGAGGTATATTTTAAGAGGGGTCCATTGGCCAAGATGGGTAAAGCAGTTAAATAGTAGAGTACAAACGATATATGTGAAACAGTAATGCTAAATTGAACAATTTTATGCTAATCCTACTGCTTTTTATGATTAAAATGGGGTGAACAGGCCTGCACGAGATTTTCCTTTTCTATAAGAGATCAAGGGAGGTTCCTTGAAAATCTCTCTCAGTAATGGTTGCAGGGCTTGTATTAAATGCCATTTGTCCATTAGTATGTTTTTCAAACATGGTAATGATGATTGAAATTGCGTCAAAGAGGGTTGAAGAGCCACCTGTTCAACAGACAACAAGAAGTGGACGAAAACCTGGACACTGGTCTAAGCTATACGCTGACTTTGTAATAGAGTTGGTTTGTTCCATTGTTATGCAAAGTAACTAATCATCTTATGATTAGTATGTCACATTCATTTTAATACAGTCAAACCTCTATTTAGCGGTCACCTGTCTAAGTCCCGGAAATCGCTTCCCTTATTTACTGTAAACTTGACCTCCATTAAACGGTCACCTCTATTAAGCGGACGCGGTAAATATCACGTAATTATTGGACAAAGAAGGGGGTCATTTGTTATTTACATGGTCTGCATGGGGGGGCCTTCATAAATTTTGATATTTCCAACATATTCCCCCCCCCCCCTCCCTCTACATAAATAATAAACGGTCCCTAAGCGACTTTTCCGAAAATTTGTCTGGGTACATTCAAAAATCGTTGTGAAGAGTACGCAGCATTGACGTTACCATGGCAACCGAGTTTTGAAGCCATATTTTTTAAAATTTGCACTTTTCTTTAAAAAGGTTATATTTCTTTTATTATTACTGTTAAAATCCAGGGTTTTAGTGACTAATTTGAGAGAAAAAAAAAAATGTTAATTTTTTGAGAAACTCAGACATCCATGGTTATAACACTAGAAGAAGGAACGATTTCCATCCTCCTCTCGTTAAAAGGAATCACGGAAACCAGAGACTTTTTTACCAATGCGCTAAGGAATGGAACTTTTTAGACGGACCTTTTAAAGAAATTAACTCTCTTCTTCTTTTTAAACAGAGCATTAAAAGCTGTACATTTTAGATATTTTATAACCTGAGATCAGGCTCAATTTGAGCGGTTCTCATACATTCTCTCTAACGGCTACCGCTAAAATTGGGCCTGATCCAAACTCATTCACGTTTGTGCTCGTTACGGCCAGGTTTTGGCCGTAACGCTGATTGGCTGTTAGAACAATGCCACAAGATCTGATTGGCTGTCGGAAACGCCGGAAGTTGAAAGAGCTTATTCCTCGCGTGGTTGTTTTCGTGAATGATCCGTCGTCGGCAGAAAGAAGGATGGATTTTGCTGTCTTTTTTATTGTTTTATGGTCTTATGGTAGGAAAATATGCCTTAATATGTGCCATGGAAATTCAGAAAATTCATATGGTTGTTCATATCTTCTCAAGATTTGCTTTATTTATCGCGGAGTTGAATACCTCTGCAAGTTGTTGACCGCTTACAAGGTGCGTTTTGATTAACAGATAAAAGCTATTTTTTAAGTCAGCCAGTCTGCATTTTTCCCACGGGTGAAAAATTTGCATACTAGAAAAACAAGCAACAGAAGTATTTTTGGTTGGCTGATTCGGCAAATGTCAATCAATCACAAAAGTGGGCGGCAGACGTTTCGTAGAAGGTTTGTATCAGGATCTCTTTTCGTTTCGCCATGCCCGCCGGAATGTTATTTACCAAGCGAAACGAAAATAGAGCCTGATCTCAGGTTAGATATTTTATTATTATTTATTTCTAACCTGTAGCTTATAATAGTAAAGTTTTTAGTTCTTATCTTTTATTTATTGTTACTATTACGTATTTATTTATCTAAGATCATTTATTTTTCTAGTGTTTTACAGGGCCTCACTAAATATCACTCTTATTTTTAATTATCAATTTTAAATGCCAAATCGGCAGATACTTATTTCAATTTTCAACAGTGTTAATTTCTCCCAGAATTTCATAACATGCAGATTATTTCGCTTCCTAAGTAGCCTTTTATACACAGATAAAATTTTTTACCACGATTACCTCAATTAATACGGGTTCTTAAAGTAAAGCGGAGTTCATTTAATTGACTTTAAATGGCGGAATCATTATAGAGAGAATTAACCAGCTCAATTAAAGCCAATAAAATGGCCATGAAACGGCTCGGGAATCACACAGGAAGGAAGAAATACAACTTAAGTGAGGTTAGCCGATTTTTATTTATGGTCATTATTCGAGTTTGAGCCACCTGGGGCCAACCTATGAAGGACGTAAGAGGTCGTAAATGATCAATCTATAACTATTGAATACAAATTTAATTACCCAAAAGTCTAGCACAACAATTTGTTTTTTTGGTTGTTTGTGTTGGGTTTGATTGTATTTTTTCGCCAAAAAGTCGATTGGGGTTATTGTTCATTTATCTGATACTTCTAAACAAATAATAAAAAACCCTATATGATTATTAAAAATACTTTCCAAGATCAAAGTTGATCTCACTGTCACCTAAACATAAATTTTTTGATCTACAGAGACTACTGTATGGCTCTCATGGCGGAACTCCCAAATGGCACCATCATAGGAATACGGGGCTGTCGTGGTTATTCAATGGCAGGATGTAACAGTTCTGTTGTTTGCAACAGTGAGAATGAGACAATGCCACAAGGAGCTCGTTTCAAACGATGCATTGGAGAGTGCTGTTCTACCAACCTATGCAATCAGGGCCTGTACCCAGTACTGGCTCCAGTAACACCAGAACCTGTCAGCAGCTACGCAAGTGTCATGGCAACCAATTCAATGGCTCCAACCAGTAGCACGAACGGCAAGACGTCAGGACCTACTTCCACAGCTGCAGCCTTGTTGGGTCCGTATCACTGGCTGATCGTCTCAGTGTCGGCTCTGTTTCTGCCTTCAGTGTGAAACAAAATCCATAGTACAAAGCAACTACAGCAACTGCCACGATATTTTCTTTCTATCTAGCATAATAATAGCACAAACGTTTTTGTAAATCCGATGGCTGAATTATGTATTATTCAATCTTTCACTTGAATGGTAGGTTCTTTAAGCAACTAAGTTCAAAATTTTATTTTTCCTATTTTCTATAGCAAGCTGCTGTCGCATATTAACATTTTTATCGTTATTTTTGCATGTATTGGTAAGGTGGTTTTCGAAGTGTCTTCTTTTAGCGTTGAAATCAAACTAAGGAAACAGCTGTAGTGTCACATTGATGAACGTGAAAATAAAATCAAGTAAAAGGGGTCGAGAATCTCCGTCTGAAAAGCACACAGAATTGCACGACCTCTAACAATGGGCATCCGTCCACCAGAGGAATCCACAGTAGTGTTAATGCGACACGTGGCTAGAGGTCGAGGGAGGTGGTTGCTCTTTCCGTGGTCCGTGATTGCGAAATGGTGTATTTTTGATTGCATTATTTAGAACGAAAACGAATTTCTGACACCGTATTCGTTTAGCCTGTCAGCGAGCTCTTGCCTCACCTACCATCGGTATGCAGAGCTTGCTGGCAGGTTACCATTCCTTCATTTCATAAGAAAACTTTGGTTCTTACCTTTCCAAAAGTAGTGTCACTATTGTTCTTGAGAGGTTTTCTCGGTGCTCTTTTCTACCTTGTCGGCACATTCTTCGACAAACAGCTGCATCTAAATACAAGTTCATCAAGATCAATCTTAGCAAGCTTAAAGGGGCTGTCAAGGCAGTCTATAAATGATGATGATGATAATGATGACGACGGCGATCACGATGATAATGATGATGATGAAGATGATTATGATGATGAAGATGATTATGATGATGACGATGATGACGATGATGATGATGATGATGACGATGACGATGATAATGAAGATGATGATGATGTCCACTTATGATGATGTCCTCTTAATACAGCTTCATCCTACTTAAAACTTAGGAAGAACGTTTTCGAAGAACACAAGAACAGTTCAGAAGAACAGTTCAGTTCAATTCAATTGGATTCACTTAGATTTATTTATAGCCTGCGTAGTAAGCGTTTCTGATCGAATTATTGCGCAAAAATTCGCCCTCGTTCCAACTTGCGCACGTAAATGAATTGATTCAGATTAACTATTTTATATTTCGTATTTTGTTTAGTCATTATTTATCTGTACTCTCCAATCAAACTCGACCAAGATCTCTTGTACTTGACCCCCTCCCTCAACAGACACTCACAAAACAAAGAAATAAAGAAATAAACAAAAAGAAAAAAAGAAAAAACACGTAACATAGTTTTGATCCAACTATTTCTTACAAACGTGCAAAGATGGAGGAACATGTCGTGATAGAATCGTTCCCAAACTGTGTTGGCACACTATTTAAAAACAGAAACCTGGGAAAGTGATCAAGTTAGGCCTTGAAGCAATGTACATGTATTTTTATCAAATCTGTCTAACAGTTCTCTTAAAACAAATCTGCACTGCATTGAATTAAGGAAAGGGGGCCTACCTTAAGGATACCAGTAGTTGATGATTTCAGAGGTACCAAGGTGGATTCTTTCATCAGAATGTTTTCCTCATCTGCTTGGACCCAAGGAAACTCCTAATAAATAAACGTGATTAAGTCCAATAAAGGGTCACAAGTGATATGCTAGACAAAAAAACAAAAAAGAGTAGACTACATGCACCGTACGATTTTCTTTTTGTTTGCTGGTTATTTTGTACCCTTTTTTTTTTCAAAAAGTAGTTTGCTTGAAATTACACAGTGACGTCAAACTTCCCCTTACAGACTGACTGATCTCTTAGTCCCAACAATGTGTACGTGGCTTGTGGTTCGTAAAGTAAGAGACAAAGTCGCGCGAAAACTAATCAGATGTGCTCTCTGCGTCCTTTCTCTCGGCCCCCCCCCCCCCCCCCCCCCCCCCTCTTTCTTTTTTTTCTTTTTTTTCCTTCTTTTTTCCTCAAAACACACAAAAAAAACAACCAAAAAAAAACAAACCAAACAAAAGAGAAGGGCACAAGCACCGCAAACGAAAAAAAAAGGGGGGAGGGGGGGGGGGGGGGTGTGCAAGAAAAAAAAAAAAAAAAATATAAATTTTTTTGTTTCCTTTTTTTTTTTTACAAATAGTTTTGTTTGAAATATACCAGGACGCGCACACTCCCCCTTCACACTTACTCATATTCTCGGCCCAAAAAAGTTTGTGGGGGTTTGGGGTTGTAAAAAAAGAGGAAAAAAACCCCCGAAAACACTCAACTCGGCCCCCCTCCGTCTTTTCTTTTGCCCCCCCCCCCCCCCCCCCCCCCCATCGTTTTCTCCTTTTTCTCCTTTGACCTCTTACTTTACGAAACACGAACGAAAAACACACTGACAAACACATGCTACGCAGATGAGATCGAGGCACCAATTCAGTCGAACAGAAAAGAGTGGGGCTTGAGGAGGAGTGATTCTACGCAAATAATAAAACTAACACTGAATTCACTGAACAAAAAAGTAAACCGATATAGCATCTTTATCTTAATTATGTGATTCAATCAGGCTGGTTTGTTTTCTTACTCTATATCAGCTTCATACTCGAGAGATGTCTGCCGCGAAATGTAGTATTAATGAGGAAATGTAACTAGCTTACAACCACTGCTCACCTCCACTAGCTCCAATTCTGCTGACTTCGAGCAGTGCAGATTTTTTAAGACAAATGTAAAGGATTTAGAGATTCAAAGTGAAATTCCAAGAATCAATAGGATTAATCTGATCAATAAGTCAATGATTACTTAAGCTTCGGTAAAACGTGCGGCTTGTTTTGTAACATTACTGCAAAAACGAGTTGAACAGCGACGTTGCGTGTTTTACCACCCTCGTTCAAACCTGTTAACAACCTGATTTGTTGCAAGACAGGTTTAATGTGGGTAGTAAAGCGCGCAACATCGCCAGTCGTTTTGCGGCAATGTTGCAAGAAACGTTGCACGCCTTTTTCTGCCCGTTTTACCGTCCGTACCTTTGGTAGTCTTATAAATAGTCCCTGGTTTTTTATACTATTTGCACTTGCAACACACCTGGGCTTTACGATTCTCTTGCAGCTTCAAAAAAGATGATTCTTTAGTATAGACCAGGATGGAAAACGTACATCCTACGAAAAGAATTTAAAATTTTTACCCAACGAAATCCATTTTGCGTTAGTTCTTTTCAGTTCACTTGCTACTTCTAAAAAGAACCAGATTAAAAAGATAAAACAAAACAGAAAAGAGAAATTTCTCAGCGAGTAATAATTTTGGAACCAAAGTTGTTTGCTGTGCGTTTGAGGCGATGTCTGGACCGATTTCTATACAATGAAAATAAAGTCAAACCTACATACAACGGTCTCCTTCGAGTAACGGCAAGGTGACCGTTACATAAATAGACCGCTATAAACAGATTTAATTTCCTTTAACTCTACTGAAAGTTAATAAATAACGCCTTTATGTGAAAATTATCACCCTGTTCAGAGATTTGAATGCCGAATACGGTCGGGTAAAGCATAAAGCAAATTCAGATGCTAGAGAATAGGTACTACAGTTGTTTGAGAGCGATAAAATCAGTGCTTTCGTCGCCACAAAGTACATTGATAACGTCACTGTTATGTTTCGTATTTCTAGCCTATACGGCAACCCGCATGTGGGCCGCGTTATCCTGGCACAATATCATTTCCTTTTGAGCGTGTCTTTTATTTAAGCAATAGACCACACTTTCTACGGGTTTACCACTGTGATAACCCACGCGGGACGTTGGGTGAACACGAGAAAAGCTTGTAAATCACTCGTCTTTGGCTCGTGATGTACAAGCTTTTTGAGTGTTCCCCTAACATCCTAAGTGGGTTATCACGCCGGTAAACTCATAGAAAGTGTGGTCTATTGCTTTTATAAAATAACTTTAATTTTTCTATGAGTTTACCGGCACAATAAACCATAGGCTTTTAACCAATCAGAACGCGCGTACTATCTTAGTTATTTTATAATAAAAGATAACCGGTGAATGCAGGTGATAATTGCAATAAAAATACGTTGTTTATCAAGTGATGACCAGTGATCGCTCACGCTTAAGTGATCATGTGATCGCTTACGGCGATGGCAGCCAAAACAGCAAGTTATATTTTCAGGATAGTTGTTCATTAAAATAAATGCCATTACAGATGTACCTGGTGGTATTGGCTCAAGCAAGGCATCACATGTATTAATCTTCAGCAAGAAACCTCTAAGGCTTTTCTCTGTGTGTAACAGGAAGTTATCATCGCTACAAGAGAAGCAGTTACTGATAAGTCTGTAAGGCGCACACAGGGAAACCGTCTTGGAGGGATGTGCGAACAGTTTTAATATAATTAACAACTTTTCTTTGTCATTTGGCAGGAGCTTCGCGCTTGCTCTAAACTTCCAGTCGGGCCTAAGAGACAACTGCTTTATCTAATAAAGAGCATTATTCATGCTAGTTTTTTTATCCCCTTATGTGAAACTAGCTGTATGAGCAGTTTTCAATGACGGCAAGTTCAAAGAAATCGTTATAACGATAATAACTTGTCACTTGGTGAATTCTATAAGCTGTAATCAACATGTCACGGGCGTGGGTAGACTGCTTATTTTTCTTTTGAGACATAGTAGTTCGACAGTGCGCCTGAGGGGCTAGCGGCAAAGCCGAGAGGAACGAGAGCCGACTCCTTTTACCATTAACGTGCATAATTTTACTTTTTCGCTAGCCGCGCGTGGCGTTGAGGAAAAAAGGAAGACCGCCCGCGGGGTAAAGCTTTGGACCAATATGAACCTGGCTAGTATGGATAGATTACCCCTCCCTCCCTTATTCAGGAGGTCATCGAATCCTATGGGGGAAGCAAGATTTTTTCTTTGTCCCACGCCCGTGACATGCCGGTTATCACATCTTTCACAACTTGTCTCTTGTTTCACATGCCTCATCCATGACTGGCTTATGCCTCAGTGTTATCCCCCACGACCACCCCCCTCGACCACCCCCACTTCCTAAGGTGCTTTGGGGAACTTGAGCTTACAGCAGAACCCGGACATAAAAAGAGTGTAAGAAGCCGGAACAAATTGTTTGCTATAACATGGGTCCTTTTCTTTTACATTTTACCATAACTAGGATGAACAATGACATTCTTTATATTCTGAGTGTTTGTTATACAGGGTTCTTTCTAGCAGGTTTCACCTTAAATGACCTTTAAGTACATGTGCACGCAACATTTTCAAAATTTTGGACGGGTCCCTCACTGTTCATTTAAAAGGGGGCTCGAAGGTTCTTTTTAGCCTGTTCTTGGTTATCAATTATTAATAACATCTTAAATTAAGCAAAAAGGAAAATCTCTGGGGTAAAAATTAACAACAACAACAACAACAACAACAACAACAACAACAACATCAACAACAAACTTTCTTTTCCGTACAACTTCTAGCTGTGGACATTATTTTCAACCAAACTGTTTTAACACAGTACAGTCAGACCTATGACAAAAATGTAAAAAAGTCATAAATGTCAACAACAGTGCTTACCTCAGTGCTGCAGAACTTTCTTCAGGACTCCCAATCTCAAAAACAAACCGCTCAACTGGCTGAAATTTCTAAAAGAGGACAAAATATGAAATGCCGATAGCTATTAAACCAATTTAGTAAATTTATTGCATTAAAATTGAGTTGCACTAATCGTTTTCAAAAATATTAATCCAGTCACAATGAACATCACCAGTGTTATGATCATATTATGATGTCTGATTAATGTTACTTACGCATGAAGTACGTAAAGAAAATTTGTCGATTACCAAAACACTAAAGCAAAATAGTGGACAGAAACTCACATTATTAGAGATCACCATGGAAATCCTCTCAACTTCACCCTTAAAGTTGAATAAAATTGAAACAAACAATCATAAAATGATACTAGAACAATAACAATTTCAAGCTCTGACCAAGCCTGACTTTCAACCTCAAAAAATGTGTTATGGCTAATTTTTTAAGTCACGTTATTTTTAGTTTTCTGTTTTGTTTCAACTTCATTAGCAAACATTACCATACTCAAAATCAAAGGAAAAACAAAAATTACCTGAGATAAAAAATTAACTACAACATAATATATACTGGTATTTTTTTCCTTTATTTAGAGTAAACAGGGCTTCAAATCCCAGGATTAGGATATAAAACTTATTAGCATAAACAAGTTTTAGATTCTATTGTGGAATCTTTATCAAGTGATGCAGTCGGACGTTTTCTTTTTCTCAGTCTGCTAGCGGCAGAATTTCCCAAACTGTGCAATCTGAATGGTTCAGGAGTGGGCGGTTTTTTGTGATCAGATCTTTCTTGGCAGAATTGTGTGGTGGCTTCATTCACAAGTTTGTTTGTTGTTTGTAACTGAGCAAAAAGCTGTTGTCTTTAACACTTGTGCTTTTAAAAGCATTAGCTAGTGACAAAGATAGTTTTATTATTCAGATAACATATTTGAAGAGAGAATCAAGCAAATCAGCCACGAAAATCACTGAAGTACTGCAAAATTGCACTCTAAATACCTTTTCCAATAAAGGCTTTACCATCTGAAGCACATCTAAGATGTACTGGTTGAGGTCTGGGTGACAACACATCTATTAAAAGAACAAATAACACTTTTTATAGTCTTTCATAACACAGTTTGGGTGATAGACTTACACATGTTTTAGAACCTTAACTACATGTATTAATAAAAGCTTGAAGCTTGTAATTAAAAGGGCTCTAAATTGGTGAGGATGAATACCAAACCAAATAATGTATTCATAAAATATACATGATAAAAGGAATACTGAAAGGTCAACAAAATAAACCAAAAAACAATATTATTATTCCGTTCACTATTCCCAAGTGATTTGCTCCAATCACCTGGCTAATAGAGAGTAGAAGTAGTTACCTCACGTTCCCATGGTAGCAAAATTTCTGAATGACAACAACCAAAAATTCACTTAAAAAGTGAATTCACACTGTTTCAAACTTTATACTACTACATGAGAAATTTCTGCAATTTGATTGGCTTAGAGCAGTGGTATTTCAGCTTAATTTGAAATACCTACATGTGAAAATTACAAAACCTCTTGCGGGTAGTAGTATAAACAACTAATAGCATGATTTGTACGTGATATTTGGCATAAATACCACTAGTGATATTTCAAAATTGTCTCAAATTTCACTCGCCTAACGGCTCGTGAAATTACGTATGACAATTTCGAAATATCACTCGTGGTATTTATGCCAAATATCACTACAAATCATGCTATTACCTATACTAATTGATATTCTTCAATTTCATTTAATTTGTCAAATAATTATACAGGACCCTATTTAAGTTTAGAAAAAGAATATTTTTGTGTCATGTTTACCTACTCCATAAAGAAAGTGCATGAAATTAAGAAGTTTCATGTTGCGGTCCTGCAACAACAGCTAAGGAATGCACAAAAAAGCATGATGCATGTGCAAAGTTCTTGTTTTGTTAATATAAACTTATTGCATTTTAACTGTTCTGGTTGCGGTCATCGTCGTCGTTGCTTAAACTCCCTATTGTTGCGATCCAGAAATTTTGCTACCATGGTAATGTGACATCACAGTTTTTCTCTCTATAGTCAATACTAATTTGGAAAGTGGAAGGCAATTGAGAAGCCCTGGGGATGAGGTTGGATTGTCTTGGTAGAGCTCGTGAAAATGCCCAGAATTTCACACCTTTTGCAAGGACAAAATGCCTCAAACTACTGCCTAAGATTAACAAAATGCAAACTCAATGGAATTCATCTTCAATATTTGGAGAATAAACATCCCCATGGTAGGCAAATGACCAAACCCTGGGTTGGGTCATTTTTGATGACCCACCCCTTTACATTAAAGCAAATTGATAATCAAATAAATTTTTATTACCATTTCACTTCAAGAATCAATTATTGATTTGAGGAGAGTGAAATGGTGCTACATGTTGTACTTTGTATGCAATGTCATGCAGGTTTGCCACATGTAACTTTAACAAGTCCTGTCATCAACTCATTTAGACTAGGTGCCAGTTCTTTTCAGTTCTATACAAAATGAAATGCTGGATTGTTAATGATTCAACATGCGGGGGTGCTATTTGAAATAAATGAATTATAAAAGACGTTTTTTTTTTTAAATCAAAAAAGGTGATAAAAATGATAATCAGTACATAGGCCCTGACAGCATTTACAATGAATAATAATTGGCCATACATACCTGCTGTAGGTCACATGCCTTGATTAAATTTTAATTACATGACTGTACACTGTAGTATGAAACCAATACTAACCTGTACAGGAACATTGTATTTTTTCCGTCTTTCAAACACTACAGCAGGATACACTTCCCTTATGTATAAGATGAGGTGAAATGCCACTTCTAAAAACTCACACAACACACCACCTGAAACTAAATCAACAAGTAATGATAGAGCACTTTCCATTTCCTCCTTTAAGACCTGGTGGTAATGTTCTGCCGAGTGGGGCGAGGAGGGGCCTGCTCTTTCTTTTGACCTTTAGGGTTATGTGCTACCCACCAGGGTATGAAGCTTTCTGGTTTACTGTCTTGAAAAGGGTGTCTTTTTGGAAGAAAAGTCTTCCTGGAAGCCTTGAAGTGGGTGTGAACATTGCCAATGTGTGGTCTACATGAGTGGCACCAACAGCCTTTTTAAAAGTATTTATTCTATGGTGTGATTTATTTAACAAAATACTCAATTCTGTATGTGAAATAATTTCAGGGTTACAAAAAAAGTATCCAGTCTTACACAGGGTGACAAAAGGAACAGAGTTTGAAGGCCATAGTAGAGCAAACAGATACAAAACATGGGACCAGGGTCTATGGACTACCCTAGCGGACAGTACCCCCGTTACACCAATTTCCGAAGAAGAACTTTACCGGTTGTCTGGCCAAATTTTAGGGACTTTCATAATATTGGGCTATACTACTGTCATTAAGATCTATATTTCAAATTCTTTTGAGTGAAAATTTTGAATGAGTTTCATCCAATAAATGTAATTGCAAGGCATACTTTATCACTGAATCCTCCTTACAGGAAATTACCTGCCAATTAATAATTTGGTTTGTCAGAGGTCTGGCATACATAATTATTTTCACACCAAATTTAATATCTGTTCAAATTCCATCCAATCATAGCCTGCATTCTATGTGTGGTGTTGCATTGTCTCCTAGAAAGCTGTCATTCGTCTCATCACATACATTAGTTTTTGTTTGACTATCGCGGGCGTTCTATCCCTGCCGAGAACTTTTAAAATTTTATGTCCACTTAACATGGTATAGTTTTCTTTATTTACAATTCTAATAATTTTTTCTGTAGAGCCATGCATGCTTTAAATTATTTATCTAGTTTCCATCTACATGTGACACAAACTGATGAACAATGCTGATAATCTGATAATGATCAGCTGTTTCCTGCCAAAAAAAGTTTCTTCATGGAAAATTTACTGATCCAGCATTGTACAGTTTGATGTTGAACATTTTAGTGCCAAGTGTGCTTTCCAGTTTTTGCCACAGAAAACTTCAATCTTTGACTTGAACAGTCATTGAAAGCAAAGCATAACCCTGGTTGTCACCGCTGACTCCTCTGATGCAACTGGAAATCAAAGGGGCTCATTATTTCCATGAAAACTGATGTCATTGTTACAGCGAAACCGGTTGTTCGTTTGCACGCCACTTTGCAATATTCTCACGCAATGTTGGTATTTTGATTGGCAGTTTGCTCTGAGCAAGTTGCGAGCTCAAATTTCAACTTGCTGCCTCGTGCGACTGGTTTTCCGCGAAAACTCCGTGGTGAAAGCCGCAGTGTCCATTACAATAACATCTCCATTCGCCAAGACTGGATTCCCCACATGGTCTACAGCTTGTAAACTTTCTTCAAAGAAATGAATCATTTCAAATCAAAATACCAACATTGAGTGACAATATTGCAAAGTGGCGCGCAAACGAACAACCGGTTTCACTGTAATTTCCTGATAAGAGATTGGCCATTTCTGCGGGTTGATGAAACAGTTGGAAAGTAATGTGGTTCAAATGTAAGCAGCTGTTTGTTTGGGAAGTTAGTTGGGTGACAAGACAAAAACAACTGCGGGGTAGATTCGATAACTATATAACAACAGCCTCAGTCTGCACGCACATGTGTATGTAGGAGATAGATAACTTTATAACAACAGCTTCAGTCTGCATGCACATGTCTATGTAGGAGACAGATAACTATCATAATAACAGCTTCAGTCTGCATGCACATGTGTATGTAGGAGATAAGCGAACTTCGAGAAAAAATATGCAGGGGAAAAGAAGAGTTACCATTTTTTGCTTAAAATAGAATCAGTTTTGTAGAGATTGTGATCAATATTGATCATTTACAAGTACTTATTGTTAAAAAAGTCACCTTCTATTGACCGAAAGGCAAACTTACCAGCCAAAAGATCAACAGTTTGTTCGGCGCTTTCTTCTCTTTGCATAGTTCTCACGCAGCGGCTAATTTAAGAAACAAGAAGACGAATGTTGTTCCTGTACACGTTGCCTTTCTGGGAGGCGGCCATCTTCAACATCGCCGATCAGAGAGAACCTGGGTCGATTCTCGTTCCCAGACTGCCCGCGGGATACCCGTTTTTTTCGTTCACTCTAGTATCCTGTTCGGAGAAGCATATATTGCCTATGATTGTCTACCATTATTAATTATCTAAAAATAGTAACTGTTCATCAGTAGAATGCCTAAAATGTGTGTAATTCCACAATTACTGATACTTGAGGTCGACGGTGTACGCTCATTTTACCCCATTTAAATCTAGTCAAAGCTACACAGAAAGGCAGAGATGCCAACCTCTGGAGATCTAAAAACTGAACACTCTCTTTTTTTGCACTCCCTCTGGAATTTCAACGAACCCCGCCCCACCCCCCGACAAATTGACCCAGCCCCCAATGGGAATGACTTAGGATATTATATGAAGTCTTACATGACGTACATACTATCAAAATATTCGCAATCATCGTTTTGATGGCAGAAATTATCTTTGTCAGTGACTAACTGTGTGCAAAAATGCCCCAGAAACCGTACTACGAAAGAGAAAAATTCAATTTTTGAGCTAAAAATGGGCTAAATCTCAAACAGTAAGGCACACAAAAGCTCGAAAGGTGACTTTATCCGGGAGATATGGTGACCCGTACAGGAGAGCGAGAGATCGGTGCCGTATCAGTTCGGGAAACTCCCAAATAATCCGGGAGAGTTGGCATGTATGCAAAAGAGAAAAGTTGAAACTGAAGGATGTGGTGTCACTGGGGATCGAACTCAGGACCTCACGCACCGAAGGCCGCGCACTAACCTGCGGTGCCACGAAGGATGGATTGTGAAGAAAAACTGATAGCCATTCAGTGACCGGACTTGGCACGGATAATAACCTACACTGAAAATATAAACTGTAAATTGTAAACACATATAATTCTCTGAGGTGACTCTGAAAACAGCAGATCATTTAGTGTCGTGAAAAAAAAAATGATAATAATGATTAATATGCTCAAAGTTCTCACACAGACTGTTCTTAGTTTTTGTATTTGAAGGCCCAGACCAAAACCCTAGTCGGCTAAAACAACAGTTTAAAAAAAATGGCAACAAGCTTGTTCTTTTGATAACACCGTACTGGTCTTTTCTGTTTCTAAATTCTTCCTTGGAAACCAATATACCACGTGACAGGTTTTTTTCCTTGAATTCGGCTGCCCTTGGTCGCTTGCTGCTTATTATTTCTGCAGGAAACAAGAACTTTCATAGTTTAATCCATATGAATTATTCTAGACGGTGGTTTTAAAAATCTCATTTAGAAAGTGACGTTTTCCGTTCTCCTTAAACGTGAATGTAAATCTCTCTAACTTTAAATGGAAAAAAAGTTAAGTTAAGAGTGGAAGCAGAGATAAGACCTGCAAAAAAATAGCACAAAATAGTTGTAGTTTCTTGGCGATGCCAGAGGTGAGCTCATATTAAGGCCTCGTCCACAAGTATTTTTGAAAACAGAGATTTTTTGCGATTTTTCTAGATATCATATTCAAATCGTTAGATATCGTTAGATATCATATTCAAATCATATATTCGAATCGTTCTCAGGCTCCTTCACACAAAAATGCTAAAACAAGGGAAATACGATAGCATCCTTTACAGAGTATGCGCTGTTTGATATATGACACCATCGATTTCGAACACCTCCGTTTTCGTCCTTCCACGCGGAAACGAGAAGCCGGTGTTTTCTGAAAAATCTCCATTTTGGGGACGGTTTTCACAAACCTGCTTTTTTGGTGCCCAAAGACACCGTTAACATGTGGACGAGAGACTCAGACAAGAAGCAAATCTCCATCTTAAAACAACAGGGGCACCCAACGAGAATATAGTTCAAAACTACTTAAACATAGTATTGTTAACCGTATTTTAGTATTTAAACGGTAGATATAGGCATATTTTTATCACCTAAAATTTTTCATCTGTTCGGATTTCATAGCTGAAAGTCTAGTTACCCGAAAATTATACGGATCGAAACTTACCTTTTCGAAAATTTCAGCAAGAAAAAAGGCTCCCGAAACTTCCAGGTGACCCTTTTAATCCATTAAAAATGGGCAGTTATACCATTTTTTAGATGTTCGAAAATCTTAGGAGAGGCAGACTAGCAAGAATTTTTACAACCAATGTTCCGAAAATTCTAGATCTCAAATCGTCTTCCGATCAGAACAGATATTTTCCGAAAATTGATGTTGGTTACCCCTGAAACAATATCCGGATATGTGTGGACTGGGCAGGTAACTAATCTAAACCTAACTATTCCGACAAAGCGGAAACATAAGGAAGCACTCCGTTTTCCCCCAACAATATAAACTGCAGAAAGACCAAACTAGACAAAACCAGAGAGTGGGTTAACCCACTAACAGTTTGCTTTATGATCGGTGTAACTGATGGAGGCTTTTTTACACCCGCACAAAAGGAAGCTGTCCATTGACAGGAATTGCAGAGTGGGTGTCATTCTCATGTTGTTGTGTATGTCCGTATTGCGTGATGGTTATGTAATTCATCTACTGACGGTCGTTAACCATAATTTTTAATATCAACAGCCTTTAGTGTCAATGTTTTTCTTTGATGAGGGTTGAAGTGAAGGTTAAGAATCTTTATCCGCAGTGCAGTGAAAAAGATTAAAAATCAGGAGCGTTCTTAGTATCTCTTTAAAAATCTTAATGTCTTTTTTTTCTTCAACTTTATTGTAGATTTCATTCAACTTTACTTGTAGAAACGTAACAATATTAATGTATCAAATGTTACGAGTTGCATTATAGGAACAGAGGGCGCCTGAATCAATTTATCACAGTATTTTGTAGCTCCATTGCTCCATCTAAGATTACTCACGCTTTAATCCCGTTAGTGAATTAGACTCACTACATGCAGTTCAACAGTTTTTCGATCAATACTTGACTGAAAACTTGTTTTAGATAGTGTAGGAGGCCCCACTGTTGCTAACCAAGGCAGGAAACGTTTTATCAGGAAAAAAATATATATATGTATATTATATGTCTCCTTTAACAGCAATCATCTATCGATACAGGAGCGCTAGAAGGTAGATACTTTTTTTTAAAAAATACATTTGTTGTTTTAGAATGATGTTTTCTTGTAGTTTTAGAATGATTTTCATCTCAGAACATAACGTTTTTAACAGTAAGTCTGTGAAGGTACGCCTACAATCACCAAACAAGGATTTGTCGTAGAAAAGGATTGTTTACTAACTCCGATCAGCTTTTAAAAGGGAAAAGAATTAGGCCGTTGCAGCTATACTAGCAAAACAACAGGTTAATTATTAGACACTGAGAGTGCAAGACCTGGTTAATCCTGTGTAATTCCGAGTATAGTTCGGAGCATCGGTACTGAAACCGTACTACCCTTGTTGGAAAACGGATTGTGTCTAATCAAGAATCTAACGGACTCAGTCGTTCTGTTATATCTTTCAGCTAAGGCATAGCCTTGCCTGCCTCGATGTACATAAAAGGGTATATAGGAACAGAGTAACTGTTTAAAAGCTTGTGACCAAAGATGAGTCAGGGAAGAAAATGATTTCAAACTGAAAAGCTAAGCTCAAGTTTTAAAGTTTTGTTCCAATTCCAAAAATGTCTAATTTAATACTCCAATTGGTCTTCTTTTTTGAGCCTTTCAATGAACGATATTTTAAACTGTCCCTCTCAGTCTCTTATCCTTTCCAAACAATTTTCCACTTTGCTCAGTGTGAAATGAAAATGGTTTGCCAGTTGAATTTAGATTGTCCCCTGGATGATGGAAAGCTATCAGGTTGCTTTGAACAATTTCGAATAAATTTTTCTATAAATAGTTTTCAGAACTAATATTCGCACTGTAATTCTAGTGCGGCTTTCTTAATAAAAGAATGTATTGATTAAGAAATTGAACAACACGCACAGCTGTAGCTTAATGTATTAACTTTCTTCTCACGAAAATACCACTTTTCAACAAGGTGACTGCACAGTATTCTCGAATTCATAAATGGATGAGAGTGTAAATCCCTGAAGCGTTCCTCCGTTTCTATTTTATACACATTCGGTAGGTAATTGTCTGCTTGACAAGAGAAAAAATACACAGTATGACAAGGTAGAGGGGAGTCTACGCTAGACATATCATCTTCCTGCAAAAAGATCCCGGAATGCGTGGCGCGAAAACCGGCTAATAGCTTTGTGGGAACGACTTCCTCTTTCATGGATGTTTGAATTATGCCACAACCACGTACGCCCATTGTTCGCATTTGAAAGGGAATATTTTCCCTATCAGAAGGGCAGTGGGATTACCTTTGGTTAGGTAATCTTAAACGCTACTAATGAATCAAAGTTTTAGCCCTCATTGACTGAACAACACACGCTTTTTTGTTTCCTGACAAGAGGGAAAATTACCCAACAGAAAGCACGTTCGCGGAAGTTACGCAACGATTACGACTAACCACTAAGTTAAGATCTTTTTTCTCTTATTCAATATAACAGAAAGAATCGGCAAACAATCATACCTCTAATTGAAAGCTGAATAAATCGATTTCTTCTTCGATAATGTGCACGAAGTTCTATTAGACCATTCTGACTAGTTGTTCTCAAACTTCAAAAGCATTTTTTCCACAGGAAAATAAAAAATCAAGTTCTACAAGGGGAAAACCAAAATGTATCCCTGGTAGAGGTGAAAGTTAGCCAAGATTGAGAATTTGTGTGAATTTAAATCAAGGCTAATTAGGAGAGGCGATTCTGTGGATACACTTACTCTGATAGACGCAAAATATAGCTAGATTACGTAAAGTTAAATGTCAACAAAACTATCAAGATATCATTTCTGAGTGCCAAACATCAACGTTTCATAACTGCCAACGGACGTAATAACTCCCCGTTCTTTTTTGTTTTGTTTTGTTTTTTTTGTTTTTGTTTTTGTTTTACATAGACTTGGATTATTTCTAATGTAATTTAATTTGAAGCATCTTATATGTTATCTATGCCATAAGCTGTTTTCTTTTCTTTTTTCTTTTCATTTCTTTAATGTGTCAAGGTGAAAGTTTCCGTTATTTTATGTTAGCTGCATGTATTTAATCTATTTTGCCTGTTCCACGCAAAATAATGCGAACCCTACTGACTCATCTAAATACTCGCTTCCGTCTACAACATTAGAATGATTTTTGAACTTTCAATTCTATTGACGGTAGTTTAGACTAAGAACGTTGTTCCATAGTTTTTGAGCTTCATAGGCTATTTCATTGCCACTGAATAAGGACTATAAAGTTAACTTCAGCTCACTGAAATAATTTAAAATAACATTGTATCTAACAGGTAACCAAAAAAAAGCTACATTTTCTATTCCTTTAGATATGCGTCAAAAAGCTCAGGGGCACACAACGGCAATTTTCGGGAAAATATCTGTTCGGAAGACGATTTGAGATCTAGAATTTTCGGAGCATTTGTTGTAAAATTTCTTGCTTGCCTGCCTCTCTTAGGATTTTCGAACATCTACAAAATGGTATAATTACCCATTTTTAACGGATTTTGACCCTAAAAAAGGCCACCTAGAATTTTCGGGAGCCTTTTCCTGGCTGAAATTTTCGAGAAGGTAAGCTTTCATCCCTATAATTTTCGGATCACTAGATTTTCAGCTAGGAAATCCGAACAGATGAAAAGTTTTTAGGGGATAAAAATATGCCTATATCTACCGTTTGAATACTAAAATACGTTCAACAATGCTATGTTAAGTGGTTTTGAACTATATCCTCGTTGGGTGCCCCTGAAAGCTTTATATATGGTTACTGTTTATTGGAAACGGCGATTTTAAGTCACTCGCCATATTTTGTTTTGAACTATCTCTGTTGCTAGTTTGAAGCGATTTTTTTCTTCTTTCCTAAAAAAAGCTACGAAAATGTAAATATAGACCAAGAATCGGGATCAAATGTATAACAGAATTATTTTTGGAATGTGCTTGCGTTTAATTGGAGTCATTTATTTGCTTTATAAATATATGAATAAATAAATAAATATCGGCAAATGAGATTTATGAGATTTACCACTTATATGAGATTTACAGGGCTCGACCCTACGTCCTAAATTGTTTTGTCTGGCTAAAAGCTAAAGGCTATCCTACTTTCCCACAGCGAGCTGGGGTCGAACAAGGAGAAAGAGTTTGAATCGCTTCTATTCAACTGCTGTCTATGAAAGATGCTTTCGATCGTCATGCTGCACCGCATGACCGCTGCTTATGCAGAGATGCTACCCTCTGTTTTTTTTTTCCTTTTTAAAAGATCGTTCTGCCAGTTTTAGGCAGCAATTTGATTGTTTCTTGCGAAATAATCAGGGGCACCCAACGAGAATATAAGTTCAAAACCACTTAAACATAGCACTGTTTAACGTATTTTAGTATTTAAAGGTAGATATAGGTATATTTTTATCCCCTAAAATTTTTCATCTGTTCGGATTTCCTAGCTGAAAGTCTAGTGATCCGAAAATTGTAGGGATCAAAACTTATCTTTTCGAAAATTTCAGCCAGATAAAGGGCTCCCGAAAATTCTAGGTGATCTTTTTAGGGTAAAAATTCGTTAAAAATGGGTAATTATACCATTTTTTAATCCTAGGAGAGGCAGGCGAGCAAGAAATTTACAACAAATGTTCCCGAAAATTCTAGGTCTCAAATCGTCTTCCGAACAGATATTTTCCGAAAATTGACGTTAGGTGCCCCTGAATAATAAAGAGAGTGAGTTAAGTGTAGATGTTCGTTATTTATAAAAATAAAGAGCGAAACGATGTTGGAGGTTTGAACTTTGTCCATAACTGTCACTTGGTTATATGAGCAGTTACCTAACGAAGGTTCCCTTGAAATGCATTACGACGCATTTTAAAAAACCTTTCGGACTCAAAACTGAAGTAAGCAAACCGAAGAAAGCGTGATGCTATAAAAGCTAAGGTTCTCATCTGCGTAATTTATGCTAAATGAAATCTGTTTAGACTACAAGTTTCTCTTTCCAATTAAATACAAGTCATGCAAGACTCTTACAGAAAACACCAGCTGACTTTGTGCACGTGTTAGCTAATGCTGATCTGGATGGGGCACGTGTTAAAGGCTACCTTGCAAGAAAAAGGCGTTGCATCATAAAACCAAAATTGCCAGAAGGCTGTTTCGCTAAATAAAGTGAGCATTTATAATAATGTAATGTGGGTGTTGCAGGTTAGAAAAGACCAAACATCCGTAAAACAGGGTTTAAAAGACACCTTGGCAATGAAAACAACTATACGTAATTGAATTGTCTCAAATTGTCTCAGCAGTTTCATGCACCTCTCAGATCGCCTCGATTTACCAGCATTTTTTTGATACTTAACAGAACAGATTGAAGCAAATCACAGCCCGGTACGTATTATTTAAAAGCAGCAGTCCATCCCTTCCTGTTGTTCCTCCCCGAAATTGTTTCCAGTGATAAAAAACTATGGAAGCGACTCAAAGGTGGAATACTGTCTTCATTGTCATCGAGTTTGTGGTTTGCCTCTTGGGATTTTTGTTCAACGGGTTAGTAATTCTGACTATTTGCAAGAATATCTCTCGCCTCTCTCCATCGAGTTATCTTATCCTTAGCATTGCGGTGAGCGATTTTCTTTCCTGTTCGATAGCTTTTCCATTCTCTATCGCTGCATACTTCCAGGGGGGCTGGCCATACGCTTCTACTGGATGCAAGGCTCACGCCTTCATGGTATTTCTCTTTGCACTTGTCTCCATAACTCACTTGGCTATTATTTCAGCTGGAAAGTACTTGACAATCAGCCACTCTCTGACTAGACAGTTTTATTTTGGCAAGAATCAAATACTTCTTGCCATATTGGCCGCTTGGATTTACTCGTTTGGCTTCAGTCTGGCACCTCTGGTAGGATGGTCAAGATACGGCCTTGAAGGAACCAATGCCACTTGTTCGATAGTGTGGGATTCGACACTACCGGGCGATAAAGCATATTTTGGAGTGATTTTTGTTGCTTGTTACTTTTTGCCTATGGGTGTTATCACGTTTTGCTATTATAAGATTCACATGATTTCCAAAAACATTGTAGGGAATGCAAGGGCCCAAATGGGAGGACATATTGCAATGACGATGACACAAGCTCTTGCAAAAAGGCATCGAAAATCAGCTTTGTATTTTTTAATCGTCATAGTGGCTTATATGCTATCGTGGACTCCGTACGCTATAGTGTCACTGCTTGTTGTTGTAGTCGGAAAAAGGGTAAATGCTGTTGCAACCAGTGCGTGCAGCGTGTTTGCGAAAACTTCTTTTATGATGAACCCAATACTGTATGCGATCTTCTTTCAGAAGTTTAGGCGACAGATGGTTATTGTAAATCCCATAACCATTCGACAAAATCAAGAGGTAAGACCCGTCAATGCTCCCTCTCACTCACAACCATTTGCACTTTAACAACGGAATCAACATGTAAATAGGTCGTCAGCTACAGTTTCAGTCCTTATGACTTACAGCTTCATTCGAGAAAGAATATTCTAGCCTTCTCCCAACATTGCCCTGCTTGATTGTAAAATTGTGTACTTTTTTGTGGCTTTGGACGATAATAACTTCTTATCTGGCACCAGTTTTTTCAAAAGGTAGATAGAGTTATCCACTGGATAAATCCCTATCCAGCGAGATAACGTTACTGCTGCATAGTGATTTATCTCGTGAATAAACTCTTTATTTTTCTTGAACAATATATATATTTCGTAAGAATATTGAGGCTGAAATGTGCGAAATTTTACGAACATTTTAGGAACAAACCCAAGGCTGAGAATTTGAAAAGGACTTAACTTTGTGTTGGAAAATCTGTAAATATGGTACAATTAATTTTTTTAACTCAACTGTAGTAAATTATAATCCTTTCACTAAAGGACAACAACATTTAGTAATTGAGACCCTAAAATATTCTAAAGCGGAAATGCCATAAGCTATAACTTATAATTATTATAATTATTATTTCAGCCTGAAATCGACAGAAAAATATTAATTTTCTGCTTGGGCCAGAAATAAAACATTTCTATATAAAAAAGGGGTGTAACGCTATCCAGCTTTTCAACACCTGGACAGGTGACGGGGTAAATAGAAAGGAACTTTAGTCTTATGTAGATCGCACTGACCAATGCATACATACAAACAGTCCTTTATTATCTTTTTCTTAAACAAGGCTTTTCAAAGATAATTAAAAAATATATGATTATAAACAAAAAGGAGTACAGTAAATATATAAAAAGCGGATTGGTAAAATTATCTAAGAGCTAAAACTTAATCACTATCAGATACGATCATACATAAAATACAAGAAACATCGATTATAAAGTTCTATGCCGAGCAAAGTAGCTTACTTTTGAGCTTTCGTTTGAAGCTTAAAACATCTTTGCTTAGTTTGAATTCATTGTTCAATGAGTTCCATATCTTCACTGTTCTGTAATAGGAGCTTCTCTGGCCACTTGCAGATTTAAATAAGGGAATATGTAGCGATTGTGAGTTTCTATTTTCTCGCCCACTGATGTTAAATCGTTAGTAAATTTAGACGTAAGATAATCCGGTGCTGAGCCCGTAATGCATTTAAATGCCAGAGTGGCACTTCTAAGATAGATTAATTTTTCTGCTGGGAGACAATTTAATTCTTTTAATAAAAGAGAAATATGGTCATACTTTTTGGCCCCGCTGATAATACGGCATGCATAATTTTGACAAGATTGTAACTTACGCATATTTCTGTTAGAAGTATTTGCCCTCACGTTCGAACAACATAATAGTTTACTAAATTCTAATGTATAAATTGTATTAATTAAAATTTTCTTATTAAATGCATGTTTAACACGATTTATTTGAGCTAGTAGAGAAAAGCATGATGAAACGGTCTTAGTAATGTAATCATCGTAAGTTAGGTTGTTGTCCAATATTACGCCCAAATCTTTCCTACTAGGCACTGGTAGCAGTATTTGTATAAGTACCTTACGAAACAATGTCAGAAATAAAGATAACAAGAAATTAAGGAATTAAGATGTGCGCAGTGACCAAAGTAGCTAATCCTTCCGGGTTGGCCACTGCCACGTTAAGCTAGCTGGCAGAGACAATAAGCGTAGTGGAAAAATAATTATGCAAAGAGAAAAGGTGCTAAAGTAACAATACTGTACGTGTATTAAACAAAAAACAAAAAGAAAACAAAGAACAAAACAACAGTAACAACAACAAGAAAAAAAACAGCAAAACATGGCTAAAAGTAGTTTAAGTATTAAAAGTAAATTAAATCAATATATTCTAAGAAACAGATTGCGAATTAAGCAGATATAACTTGAAGTGTTTAGAGAAGCGGTAGTAACAAAGTTTACAAGCTGCAGTGGAATAGTCTCCCATATTTTCGACGCAATGAAAGAAAAAGTGGAAACTCCATAGTTATTATTTATTTGTGGCCTATGGAAGTTAAATGCTAAAATCGTCTTCATGACAGCTCTGAAATGGTACAAAACAACTAACTGTGCACTTAGTGTAAGAGCATGGAAAACAAAAACGTCTGAATAGAAAATCATCCTTTCTATGACTGGCTTTCCCAACTTACATCAGCGCAAGCTGAGGAAGATGTTGTGACACCAAGTATTCAAAGTTTGTTTGTTTCTCGTCCGGCCAATCTGTTCCTGCAAGCCAAAGCGACCCAAGACTCTGCAGCTTGGTGATGTAATCTACCAGATCTTGCTCCGAGCATCTGAGTGCATTGCCCCTCAGACTTAATTCAAGTACATTAGGAAGGAACGTAAAGCTCTTCATCAGATCATTTAAGTCCCTTTCATCAAGATTTAAAAATTCAAGGATTACCCATTCCAAGTTGGGGAAGAAACATAGTTGTTTGGTGAGTGAAGAAAGACTACCCCGGAAATCGAATCGACATAAATGAAGTTCCTTCAAATCAGAAGTTTCGTGAAATCCACCAAAAAGTGTTTCCACGTCAGCGACCTCCGAGTTGGCTGGAGATTCTTTGCCTGTTAGTTGCAGAGCTCGCAGGGATGAAAGTTTAGGCAGTAGCTTTCCTAGCGCCGCAGCGACAGCTGGTGTCATACCAATACCTTTCAGCCTTAAACTTGCAATCCTCCTGGATGCAATTTTAGAGACAAGGGTGATCACACTCGCCTCGGAACAGTCTGACAAATCGAGAGCAAGAGATGTGGTGTTGCCAAATTCTGCAAGCAATTCAGCGAATTGTAACGCTCCAGCAGATTCCAAGTAACACGTTAGGGCAGAAGACAGGTTATACACCGCCGATAAGGAGATTTTGTTGAAGGTACCTATCTTTAATTCGCACTCACAAGGGTTTGGTAGTTGTTTCAAGATGTCACATGATTGGACGCCAGTTGCACAAAGTTCGATCTGCTGTAAATATTTACAGTTTTCAAACAATGCACTTGCAAGTAATGCATTGTTGTTTGGCATAAAAGTCATAGTTCTTACGAATTTCAAAATCAGCATTGGATCATGATCATATCTCTGAGCTTCCGCAAAAAACAAACTGGCATGGGTAGAACAGGTCAGGTGCAAATCTATGATGTAAATAAAGACTTTGCCGTTAAGGAAACAAAGACAAGCGTTGAATCCACAGCTTCCTCGCAGCTGTTGATGACATTCAGCACCGACAGTTAAAAATTTACTCACAAACGTGTCAAGCCTTTTCAACTCAAAACCTTTTTTGTCAAGAAATTTAAGCCACTCTTGAAGCGACTTGACTTGCGAGATGGAGCCTTTTCCCATCATCTGGGGTTCTCGAAACAGAAAGCAGCAATTCAAATTGTTTATCATTGTGGGAAAGCGAAATTGTGTTTTTGTAACCAGGAATGTGCCACCAACAGAATCACAAGTATGCGGTGCAATTTTATCCTTGGATTTAACTTCTTGAAAGCAATTGAAGACCAAGTCGTTGAACCTCCGATGTCGCTCAGTGACGTCACAAAAGGGAACACCTGTGTCCCTTTCTTCGTCTTGTTCTGTGTTGACTTGCAGCGAACAGTCGGATCGTCTAACGAAAGTCAAATGCTTAAACACCGCCTCTGCTCCTTCGTCAGTTAAACCACAAATGAACTGGAACACCTTCTGGAAGGCCTCGCATTTCTCTAAGGTATGAACAACCTTAAGTGGACCAAGATTACCTTCAGGAATACAGCATTTGTAATTGATGTACCGAGCAGCCAAAAATTGCTGAATGCTTCTGTCAATGAAGTAAACCATTGTGGTTGGACGCACGCTACATGTATACTCTGCCACTTGAATTAAGCCAATAATGTAGCTGTTTTGATAACGAATAACATCCAAAAATTTCTGCGGAGTATACCCGACCACTTGATCACCACTAAGAAGACATTGAAAGGCCACATCTCCGATTTTAGCAAGATCCTCTTCAAAGTGCTGCACTTCGTTAGAAAGGTGGGAATGTTTTCTTTGGATGTAATCTAAAAGAAACTGTACGATCGCAAGAAATAGTTCAGTTTTATATTCAATGAAGCTTTTCAATTTTCCCTCTTTCCACGATGTACTGAAAAAGAGTAGAAGTAACGGAACTTTCGCCAGGTCAAGCAGGTCATGCTCCAACAAATGTTTCAAAAGATCACGTCCGTCTTTGTTGTTCCCAAATAATTTCCTAATAGCGGTTTCTATGTTTTCTATGGAAAATCCTTTGATCTCAACAAACATGACTTTTGCTTTTGATTCCAGAAGCTCGTCAGCTTTGTGACTTTGAGCTGTTATCAACACACAGCAATCTCTCAGTTTTTTCCCGATAAAAATCTTGTAGACATCGGAATCGCGCGAGTCGCATCTACAAAGATACTCTTCATAGCCATCAAATACCAACAAAACTTTCTCCTGATTCTTAGTTATGTAACTCAGAAGGCCTTCTGCCAAGAACATGTTTTCCTCTGCAAAAATATTAGACCTACATATGACATCTCGAAGATCGCGGCATTCTCCAACTTCCCTGAGGTCAATAGCAAGGACTACCTCAAAGTTCTTCAGGGCAGCTGATTTTTCCTCATCAATCTTCTCAAGTTCTGCCCAGTCTACAGCCAGCTTCTTAACGAAGGTGCTTTTACCGATTCCCATATACCCTTGCACAAGTATTCTTTTTGGTATCACACCGTTCATGTCTGCTCTGAACAAGTCACCGTAATGCTTCAGTTCAGTCAGCGATGTACCAGATGAAGTTTCTTCTCTTTTTACCCACGAGAGACAAGTGTACATCTGGTGAATGTCAACAGTAGCTTTCTTGGACCACCCAGAGGTTGGCACCTTGTAATACTCCTTGTAATACCTGGCGAGTTTACTTCGACAAAGTTTCTGATCAAAAGGTTGCTCAGGAGATCGTTCTTATTTCAAACAAAATAGTAAAAAATGATGAGCCATTAATAATAGTATTGCAATAACCG